GAGAAAGCGCGGGTTAGCAGCCCGGACACGCCAACCGTCGGATTCAGTAAGCGAACGGCTCTCAACGGCCACGAACGTGTTTTTCGTTCTTCGGTTCCCGCGCATGCATATATATATATACACGTAACTGCGATATATATATATATATGTGTAACTATCCGAGACTGACCCGCGAGAAACAACACTCGTCGTCGGGAGTAACGCAGTCGGTGATCGGCGACGACGTGACGACCAACAGTTAGTCAGATCGTATAACAGCAGCAACAACAGCTTATACATCCGCGACACAGATCCGCTTTTTCGAGTAATCACAAACACTATCCGTCAAAATCCATTCTCCATCTCCGCGATCAAAACAAAAAAAATCAAGAAAAAAAAGTTCTTCCATCCCGTTCTACAAAAACTCCCCCCCCCCCCGTCATTTCGGTTTCGGTCCTTCAACTTCGTTCCCGCAACTGTGGCTTCAATCAATCAAACTGGATTCCAACAAGCAGTACGTGTCGCGATTACTTCGCGGCTACCGGAGGCTTAAGAAATTATTCAAGGTAAGAGATCCGTCTTCCTCTTTGGGGGCGAATCTTGCATATCGCAAGCCGCCCTCCTTGATTTCTTCCTTTCTCTCTCTCTCTCTCTCTCTTTTTCTCTCCCTTACGGATCGAGAGGACTGCGCGATAGATTTTCGCGCGTATCCGTGCAGTGGCAGGGTGTAGTCTCTAAGTCACGCGCGGTAGTGCGAATTCGAGTGTCTTCAGCAGAAATACGGTGTGTGTGGTGAACCGCGTATCGAAGAATCAGGGTGCTTCTTCGATAGATTCGCGCGAACTCATTCAGCTTCTTGTGACGCTCCGGGGATCGATAGTGTATCTTGAAATGAGGTAAAAATTAATAAGTGAGCAAGTTCATTAGAATGTTTTTAATGTTATTGGTCAACACTTGATGAATTTGCTCACGTTTGGAATTTTCATCTCGTTTCCCCTGGAGCGAGTAGAAATCTGTCGAGAGAGAAGAGATACTCCGGCTTGGCTCGAACATATAGATAGCGCGAGAGAAACGCGCGTGATAAGTTGGCATGCGACGAGGATGACGAGGCTGTTTGTAACGCCGACGTTTCAGTTAAGTGCGAGACGATCTAGCGTTTGATTGTGTATCACGCGACTTGATGAAAAACACAAAAATGAGCGAATTTTTACTACGGTATTTATCGTATCATTGGCAAACACCCAGGGAATTTGCTCGCTTTTGTGTTATTACATGACTTGATGAAAATCATAAAAATTAGCGAATTTTTACTAGATTATTTATCATCTCATTGGTAAACACCCAGAGAATTTGCTCGCTTTTGTCATACGACTTTATGAAAAATCTAAAACGTTTATAATATTGATAAACATTTTGTGAAGTTGCTTGCTTTTGCAATTTTCATTCTTATAATTATCACAATTTAATGGGAATTACAAAAAGGAACGAATTTCCTGAAATATTGACATGTCACTTGCACTTTGCAACGCTCAAGTGTATTTATTTATCTCGTTTTAAGTACAAAATTTCTGGGATTTCAACCAACGTAAACAAATCTTATGATTTCATTGATCGAGTGAATTTGTTCTTAATGAATTCGCTCCGCCTAATAATAGTACTTTATTTTTATGACTTTTACCGAATGGGATGATGCACAATGGGGTGAACTCTGGCGTTTGCTTTTTGCTTTCTGGAAGATTGGCGGGAAGACTCGCGGTATCTTACGTGCGATCAGAAGTAGACATTTACAACGCTCAGCCGAGAGCGAGTTATCGCGCTGATTCTTGAAGCAGCCTCGTCGCGAAGTCCACTTTTGCAACGCTGGCGAACAATGTCAATTATCACGACAATCGGAACGAGGATACACCTGATATATATATATATATATATGTAGATCGATCGATTAATAAATATGTAGACCGTCACCACGGTGTTTACGCGACGGATTATGGCGAGGCTCGTGAAGTATGTGAGATCCGAGGAAGAACGAAACTTGTTCATTTCAGGACAAGAGAGAACGGGCAGTGAAATAAATAACGGGGGAAGAGAGAGAAAGAGAGAGAGAGAGAAGAGAAGAGGTTATTATTCTGCCTCACAGCATGAATAATTTACACGCTCAAATTTAAATAAATTCGCCCGCCACCGCCGTTGTCGTCGTCATCGGTTTGAAAAACCGTAAGCGCGTAATCTCGACGTCGGCTCGATGGTTGTTTACGGTCGCGCGTTGCGCGCAGTTAATTTTAAACGAATTCGCCGGATATCGTCGCCGGGTATCTCGTCTCGTTCGTTATCGTCCGGTTATTTATGTTATTCCGTGAAATTACTTAGAAGCCCGTTAATTAGGTCTCCAACCGATGCAACGCTCGTAAACAACGTGTGACGTAAGCTGAACATATACCGCGGTATTATAACAAATAATGAGGAACGGACGAGCGATAATATTCGCGGACTGGCAAAACATTATTCGTCGTTGAAAAATCGGAAGGAGGAAAAAAGAAAGATTTGTCTGGGCGCACTCGAATTGGCTGCCGATACTGATAATCGATCGTGGCTTCTAGCTTCGTCGAACTCATTTCACACAGGAAAGATCAGTTTTGTTGAAGTATTTAAAAATTTAGCTAGATAAATTGAAAAGTAATTTTGTTTGGATCTTCAAAATAATTATGTAGAATACTTAAACTGGAAGACTTGCTAGAATGTAACTTTTTGCAGCATTGTCATTAACGTTTAAGTGTTGTACATAATTATTTTGATAGCTAAACAAAATTATTTTCAGTTTACATATTTAGCTGAATTTTTAGATACATGGAAAACTGATTTTACTGAAGTATCTAACAATTTGGATACAGATTTGAAAATAATTGTTTGAAACGTCAAAATAATTACGTAGAAATCTCAAACATGATGATCAATGCTGCAAGAAGTTTTGACATTTCTGGCAAGCAGTTTGAGCGTCCTTCGTAATTATTTTTATTATTCAACAGAATTATTTTTAAATCTGTATCTAGCTAAATTTTTATTAGACTTGAGCAAAATCGTTCTTTTCGTTTACAATCCTTGTTTTCGGTGCGTTCGACGATTCCGATAGCAGAATATCGCGACCGAGTATCAGTTGGGCGACATCCTCTTATGGCCGAAAATAAAAATAAAAAAAAAAGGAAAGAAAAAAGAGAGAGAAAGAGAGAGCGCGAGTGAGCGATTATGGAAACTAACGGAGGCCGTAAGGTCGTCATTGGCGATCGTGACACGTGAACTGCGGATGACCGAGTGAGATTCCGTCACGCCCGCATACGAGGAGAGGATGTCGCAGTATAAGCGCGTCCACGGATGATGTCTCCCGACACCGAAAAACATGTTTGGTCCGCGACCGGTTGTTTATACGATATATACCATGTGAAAGCAAACACTTTAAAGATCACCGAAGCGTCGCGCGTCGTCGGGAGCTCGATCTTCGTCCCGAAATGTGTTATCTTTGACGGTCGCAGCGCAAATAAAAAGGAGGAAAAAGATAAAAAAAAATAGAGAAGAAAAAAAGGAAATTAAGAAAGGATTTCTTCACTGGATGTGCTAAACTGACGAAACGTATTCGGCAATTAATTAAATATTATTCTCGTCTCGACGCAAACCTAAATAAGACCTTACGTGAAATACGTCACGGTGGATAATAGCGCTTGCTAATGTATCGTAACGCAAATACCAACATGGGCGAAATTACGATCTACGCGTGCCCGTGGCACCTTCGGATTAAACCACCCGGCCCCGGTGTGCTGGTAGCGCATAATTCTCGAAACTTTGTCCTGGCCGTGATGCAAGGAACGCGGGGAAACTCTCCAGCCTTTACCTCGGGAGTTGCATGCGAATTGAAAAACAGTTGAGGGTGTACTCGCATAACTAACGGAACCGCACGTCGCCACTAGCTTTTGACAACGTCGTTATATACTATGTATTTATTTCGTATTACATACTGTTCCATCGAATCCTTCCTTGTATCATAATATAATATATAACAGTGGAGATATAATTAGCGTGTTGACCACACGATTAGAAGATCGATTGATGTATCTCAATTTGTTAGTTTTAATTTTTAGGTATTATTTTTAGGTATCATTTTGTTACCTCAAGTGGGCATCGCATGTCGCATTACTTCACAGTTCCATTAATACATGTTAATATCCAGTCTAGCGCTATTTATGCACGCTTCACGACAATAACGATACACACTTGTACTAGAAACGTTATTGCCGCACCTCTTGACTTTTCTCCCCCTCCCCCCATACGATCGGAATGCACACAATCATGCGATGCGTGCGCATACCACGATCCGACAGGAAGATCACCCTCGGAGACTAACTATTGTCTGCTCTCGAGGCGGATCGCAACAAAGTCGAAATGTATTTAAGGTCGACTGTTGCTCTGTCGAGAATCTCGTATCCCCCGAAAATCTTTTCTAGCACACAGACGGCTTTTTCCATGCAACGGAGAGACTCTGTAACAGAGAGTAGCTATCTCACCTATCCTTAGCATTCAGTCTCACGCTTTAGTGCTATTCATTCATTGTATAGAAACATATTTTCTTCTCACTCACTGGGCCCTTAATTAAAGGAAGAACCGATGGAACGAAATGTATATTGGCAAATGATTTCGTTACCTGAGGGGCGCAAAGCTTTGATCAATCTTTTATTTTCGCAAATAATCCGTTTCGCGGAGGGAACGAATCTCCCTCCACTGAGTTATAAATATATAAAAAAAAGGCTACGGTCGATACAAACACTTGATACAATGCTGCACGACATTATCGCGTTCCTTCCACGAACGATGATATTGCTGATCTGTACTTTGTACTTATCGCCAATTTTTACTTGACGGCTTTAACAGCTCCCTCCGCTCTTTATTATCTATTATATCACCATTCGCGTGCGCTCTGTCGCGTACACTATACACTTCGTACTTTCGCTTAAAATACTTATCGCGTAGTCTAACAAATATTTTCTCTTGCTTTCTCGATTAATCAACGAGTATCGATTAACTCTTGTGAATGAACAATATATACACACACACACACACACACACATATATATATATATATATATATATATATATACACGCAAGGTGTGTAGATAAGAATACAAGTATATATATATACTTGTATTCTTTTCTATTATGATAATTCAATTTTATTCTATCGATACGTTTATTTTTAAGTTTAGTCTACCTTCGTCTTATAGTCTTCGACGAGACGATGGCTTATTCCGTACCAGAACGGCGTGTCGCGGGGACAAACCGTATTCTATTCAATTCCACTCGTTCTCGTTCTCTCCTCGTCGAACGAACGCCTTTATTCGTCGGCATCGGCGGCGCGTGATCCAATTTAAACCCGCTCGCTTTCTCTCAGCGTCTGCGAATGCAAAACATCTCATTCACGGGCAAAAGTGCTGGCCGCCTGCGCCAATAGGCGTAGTCCCTTACCTGCGAGAGCGGCAAAAACGAGAGTAGTGGCGCGCGAGCGCGCGAGAGAGACGGAGCGTAG